TCATTTATTATTACTATTTTTATTGTTATTATACTTATATATTACTATTATTATAACTAAAGTTTATACATTATTTCAATTTTTCTATTTTTATTTTTGCATGTCACTGTTTCTTGATTCACACTTCATTGATATGGATTATGGAGTAATTAAATGACATGCACACTAATCACGTTGTCGAATTTTATTCAATTTCATTACAAATTATGAGTATAACATGCAATTAGAATTATAAAAATAATTATAACAACAACCACAAAACTAGTTCTTTTTTCCCATCTCTAAGAACAAGATCTTAAATTTATCATTAATTTTAATTTTTGGTTGAGTTATTTTCGTAATAATGTACCAAAGGTGGATGGTTTTAATATTTAAAGTTGTGAGTGCGATTCTCACAGGTTTACTCAAAACTGTTAAAGTTCCGGTGGGCCGAGAACAAAGGATAGAGTGTCGGGTAAAATTAACCACTTGCATATAAAGTCAGGATCCACAATTCTAATCCAAAAGCTTAAGCTGATAGGTAGGGCTTCACCGTTCTATATATGCTAGTGATACTCATCTTTATTTTCCGATGTGGGAACTCCAACACTCCCCCGCAAGTGGTAACTAGCCTGGCCTAGTTAGCACTTGGACAAACGGGTCTAGCATCTCAATCTCTTATAGCTAGCCCACACAACGGGCGGTGGCATCTCAATCTCTTTTTAGCCAACTCAGCCCAAACCACAGACGGGGTAGCTCATTTTTGCTAAACCCACATCCAAACAACCAGGAACAATCAAACCCGGACCGGACCTGCTCTGATACCATGATAGAATTTAGGATTGGGGTATGGATAACTGGATTGGGCAATAAGACACTTGGGTTGAACCGTGTTAAAAGATTGAATCCAATCTATTAGTTAGTTGAACCGTGTTAAGCTCTTGAGTTGAACTAACTAATAGATTGGATTCAATCTTTTAACACGGTTCAACCCAAGTGTCTTATTGCCCAATCCAGTTATCCATACCCCAATCCTAAATTCTATCAAAAACCCATTGAATTTTTAGCAGGCGCGGAAAGTAAAAAAATAATACAGGAGTAATAATTAAACATATAGGATGATGAAATATCGAAGAAAAACTCCCCTTCAAATCAATACAAAAACTTCAACATGAATTTAGTACGAGTAGTTTTTAGTTAATTAAAAAAACAGACAATAGGATTACTTTCACCAAACAAGTATGTTAGAATCATTTGTTGGAAAAGATGACTAAGGGTCCTTTCATCGGTTGTGGAGAAAAAGCCAATGATCTTCTAAGACTCATACATACCGGTGTTTGTGGACCCTTTAACAAAACGGCTTGAGGTGGTTATTTGTAGTTTATCATATTCACTGACGATCTTAGTAGGAAGGTATGGCTACGTGTTCAAATGTTTCAAAAATGAAGTTGAGAAACAACTATGAAAAAGTATTAAGACTCTACGATTTGATCCAGGAGGTGAATACTAAATTCATGAGTTCGATGACTAGCTTAGAGAGAACGTGATCCTACCCAACTCACTTTTGGCACGCCACAATGAAACGGTGTGTCTACTAAGAACAATTAAACTTTACTAGACATAGTTCGATCTATAATTGTAATGCGACTTACCAGGCTCGTTTGAGGTATGCACTAAGCACAAGAATATATACTCTTAACCAAGTTTCAACCAAAGCGGTTGGAGGGACATCATATGAGCTATGGACATCACGCTCAAGTTTGTCCCACTTTAAGACTTGGGGATGTGAGGCTTATGTCAAACATCTTGCTCGCCGCCAAGTCCGGTAAGTGCTTCTTCGTTGGATATTCCAAGGAAATGTGTGGATATTATTTCTATCATCTGAAGTTTACCTACCTAAATTTTGGCTTGGTGGCATAGATCAGTTGGCCGAGAGGGCACTCTTAAAGGAGATTAATTCGGGTTTGAATCTTAACAACTGTGAAAATAAAATGGTCATGCTGAGCATGAAGTTCTTACAAGTTACAAGAAAATATCTCACTTTCTCTCACCAGATTGAGATTATAGCTTCATTTGACTCATCATCTAAAGGGACCATGCATGGGAGTTGGTTATGACATTTGAAAAAATTCAAAATGCCAACATCAAATTGTTTGGGTAGATATTCGTGTCATTTTTTGTGTCAATTATTTCGTTAAAATTTTTTGGAAATATGAAATATTTCTATTTTTTTGTTTTGATGCAAAAAGTTGTCCCAAAAAACTAAACATCATCCCAAAATAAAACTCACTTTCTTTTTTAGTTTGCTTCAAAATAAATTTTAGGTTTTTCTAGTTTTTGTATAGGAAAAAAATGTTCGATTCAAAATATTTCTTTACTTAGATAAATTCTAATCATATACTCCCATGTCATAAAATTAATTTCTTGTTTTAGTTTACAAAGCTTGATCGACTTTATTTACAATTAATTTTTTTAAATAAGAAATCAATTTATTAGTAGATTAGATGTGTAAAATTTAAAAATTAAATTTATATATTTAAAAAATTAACAACGGTTCTTTTGTCCTTGGAATTCAAGGTCATATTATGACTCAGTGCTCCAAAATGCCAAGGTCATTTAAGGTAAAATTAGGTTCGCATCGGGTAAAAAGATATATACCGTTACAAATCACATCAAAAGTTCTATAAAACTAGATACAACATGACTATATTATTCTATCAAATAACTAATGATAAAAAATAAATAAAGAATACGAATAAAGTTAAACCATGTGAATAATACGGAGTAATTAAGAATATAATTTTGAGACGGAGAGAGTACTTTTTAACAGTTTTCTTAAAATCCATAATGCTAAACCACAAAATTTAGTTGGGAAGGGAGTGAATACTTATGATAATTCCATAATGTAACACTTTAACCAGTCAAACACTGCATGTACCTCACAACTTCTTATTGAAGGAAAAAAAACTCTCCAATAATTTGGTTGCCAATCACCCTGTCTGTTTAATCAGCAATCTTGGATAGAAATATGGGTTGAAAGGCTCTTTAAAATTAAAATTTACGGGTGGTAAAAAAATTACGGTGACATTACTTAATTGGTCAATAAGGGTGTAAAAGAACGTAATAATCAAAATCGACTCATGTTAACAACGAGGAAGAACAATCATACTTAACATAAGATCCTTGAACTTAACATAGATAAATCTCACCCTTATTGTTCCATTAAATCTAAGGTCAAAATTTTACCTCTTGCTTATTTTTTTGGAGGAAAAAACTTGAACAATATTTCAAGTGGTTAATTGTACTAACATTATTCGTCCCCTCAGCCAATAAGCCAAGCTGGGATGATGGCCCCCACTTTTGTCACCTCTCATCTTTCTTTTCTCTTCTCTCCAGAATCCACCCCACCACCAAGACATATATATACGTGTGTATGTGTAGATATATATATTTCCCATAAGCATTAATCCTCAGAAATATCAGTGTTCTCTTCATTCCAATGATTTGGCTCAAATAAATGTGGTTGGTGATTGGGGAGAGATCTGGGAGTGGCAAAATGGAAGTGGGTTCTGCTTCTTCCGGCCGCCAGCCCCAGCCGGCCAAGAGAGGGAGGGGAGCGGCAGCGCAGGGCGGCGGCCGGCCGCCCAGATGCCAAGTGGAAGGCTGCCAGGCGGATCTGAGTGGCGTTAAGGCTTACTACTCAAAGCACAAGGTGTGTGGAGTTCACTCCAAATCTCCCATTGCCATTGTTGCTGGGCTTGAGCAGAGATTCTGCCAGCAATGCAGCAGGTCAGCTACACTCTCATTTTCTTTGAAATTTGATTTTTTTTTTTTTTTGAAAAGGTCTACTAAGAGAATTCAGTGTCACTATAGAATTACTATTGAAAAAAAAGGGTACTCAAAATGACTTTTTTGGAAGAAGTTCCACCCTGTCAAGTGCTTTAAAAAAATACTTCTCAGCTTTTGGCTCTATCCACAAGCACATCCAAACAGGTCTTAGTTATTTGACATTTTTCAAAAAGAGAAGAATTTAAAAAAAAAAACAGAGTTTTGCCAATCTGTCATATGTGTTTGACATGGCTAATGTGAATTGTGATCTATATGGAGATATAACATTTCCCTACTTCCACAGAAGACACTTTGCATTATGATAGGCATTAAATTTGTAGGTTCCATCAATTGGGGGAGTTTGATCAAGCAAAAAGGAGCTGCCGTAGGCGCCTGGCTGACCATAATGAGCGTCGTAGGAAGCCCCCTCTCCCGCCAATATTTTCCCAATGTTATGGTACTCTTTCTACTTCATTCTTCAGTTAGTCGATGAAAATATGATTCACCCATACATACGTATATGAAAGAAAAAAAGAAATGGTTTTGATTTTTGTTATACCTCGAATGACAGGAATCAATGGCAAAAGAGGAAGCTTTTTGATGGACTTCACTCCATATCCGTACCCATGGGACGGCCAAACAGTTGCCTCTGGACAGTGTCTTCAACAGGCTTGGCATTGCGGAGAAGGTTCAGTTGGATTTTCACAGTCTACTTCCGCTCTCTCTCTTCTGTCAAACCAACCCTTGGATTTTGGGGTTGACTCTGATAGAGCTCGTGATGATGTTCATCAATCCAGTACCAATTCTTCAATGATTAACGGGTTTTCAAGTCCGTGGGAGCTCAAAGGCAATCAAGACCATGCCAGTTCTCCCCTTTTCACCTTAATGCTCCCACAAACCACTAGCGGCTCCTCTGGCGATATCCCTACTGGCAGTCACTGTTCAGGAGACCTTGAGATGGGGGGCCGAGACACTGGAAGAGGGAACATGGGATTAGAGTACTCAGGTTACGACTCGTCTGTTCAGAATTTACACTGGACTCTCTGAATGTTGCCTCTTTCTGTGTGTTTTGTGTTGCATACAAAATTACAAATGCTTTTGTGCCGTGTTTTTTCCGTGCTCTTCTTACCCTAGCTAAGATGAGTTGAGCTGCTATCTTGTTTTTTCTTCAGCAGTTAAGACAGTAAACAGATTTGTATGAACAGTGTTTATTTTGACATTTGTTGTACATCTGAGATTGTATGAGCTGATCATCTAAGATGGAGTAAGTTCTTACTACTGCATTTGCTTTGTACAAAATGAGCTGAGTATTCAACTATTCATAGATAGTTACACAGATGATGGGATCTTGATCAGCTTTGAAGCCCTCACCCCTTCCACCACCAAAGGGATATAATCAGAATTGATTTAAATATAAGTTCTAAACTGTCCCTGAAACACACGCCTCCCCTCCAAGAGATTAAATCGTCTAGTGGTCTTCTTCGAATAGTCCAGGGCAGTTGTCCTCAAGTGCTTCCAAAGAATCATACTAGCAAAAGATCAAAATCAGCAATAATAAGATAAGCATTTCAGAAGAAAATGAGAGGCTGGCTTGGATATTAACAATTGAATATTTCAATGGCAAACTAATCCTTGCCCCACCCTACATCTACTAATATAAAACTTACCCGGCATCCACAGAATAGACAGTAATAGTATTCATCTCTCAATTTCATCAATATCTTTAGCAAATCCTGCATTAAAAAAAATAAGCTATACCATCCACAGATAGCAATCTCAAGCAGACAAGGCAAGTATTGGATAGGAATACCGAGCCACAAATTGAATTAGTTTACCCAGAATTGAAGCCTTTAAATATGTAATATGCTGTACATACTTGTGTGTTATAATAAAAATGCTGGTAACCTTCATACTTAAGTCTAACGAATATAAAAGAAAACATTTAGGGGTGTTTACGTTAGTTTTCAGTTTTACTTTCTCTACTTTTGTTGTTTTCTTGTATCTACATTTCCTGTTATGTTCTCTGTTTACCAGATCGGGTAACATGTTTACAGGCTCATGTTATCTCAACTCATTATCCAAATTCATATTTTGTAAGTTATAAACAGCTGTGGGTGATTGGTATTGATCAAGGTCATTTTAGTGGTGGTCGTTGGTCAACAGAGGCAGCATTTGCAACCTTTCTTTATTTTGTTTTTGAAGTGTTAATGGCAAATGCTGTTTTTTTGACTGGTAATGGTCAGGCCTATACTATCTCGAAAGAAAATATAAAACAGAAGAGTAGAATAAAAATATACCTCTTCAGTGATGATTTCTTCTTCCTCTTCTCCTTCTCCTTCCTTTTCTTCTGTATCCTCTTGTATGATCTCTCTATTATCCAACTGAGCTAATACAGCTTCGGCTTTATGAAAATTGACAACAATCCTCCTCCCTTTCCACCTCTCCTTTTGGCGATGCTCAAAATCTACCATAAGTTCTTCGGCCTTCTTTTGCCCACTTTCAAACTTCTCTTTTTCTTTCCTTGCTTTCTCTAATCTGGAATCTTCCTTCCCAAGCCCAGCACGACCCCTTCGAATTTCCAATGCCACTGGTTCAGCCCTTCCTGAGCCATCCTTTCCTAATGTTGATCCGGGAACATACCCCATTTGTTTCAACATCTTGAACCCAATGTTTGATTCCGGAATTGCCGATTCTAAGCTGACAAGAGTTTGTCGATCCTCTTCGATTTGCTTTTGTTGTCGTTTGAGTTTTTTCTGTTCTTGCCAACTAAGGGGTTTACGCTTGTTTAAAGATTTTGAAACTACGGTGGTCTTACTGCAAGAAACCTGGAGATTGGGGAGGCATGGTACGATTAGATACAAATTTCCTAAAATCAAAAGAGCAGAGAGTCTTTAAATCCATGTAATGATATAAACTCACTTTTATGGAGGATTTCCACAAAGCTGGACTAGCCTTGAATTATAGGTAGAGCTTAATTCTCAAAGCAATGCAGTTTTATTTTGAACAATTCAGAAATCACAGCATCCATTCCATGCTGTGAGTTCTTGTATCATGAAATTATACACAATAGTGTGTTCTTATCTCATTTTCTAGCAATTTTATGTTTTAGGAATATGAGAGCAAAAGAATTAGGTGCCAATTGCAAAATCAACTTCACAACAACAACAACAACAAGCATAAAATATTTTGTGACTAAGTAATTTGACACCTTCATGGTGTGACTAAGTAATTTGACACCTTAGTGATCCACCGTACCTTCATAGTGGATCACCTTACTCTTATTCCACTCTCCAAGCATCTTAGCCATATTGCAAAAAAGTTAAACTGGGTTAGCAACCCATCTTTGCGCACAATATCCTAAAACTCCATCAGGAATTCATTAGGTACCAAAGCTTGGTGATCCAAACCAACCCATCTTTGCGCACAATGCCCTAAAAATCCATCGGGATCTCATTTGGCCCCAAAGCTTGGCGATCCACACCAACCCATCATTGCGCACAATACCCTAAAAATCCATCGGGATCTCCTTCGGCCCCAAAGCTTGGTGATCCACACCAACCCATCCTTGCACACAATATCCTAAAACTCCGTCGGGGTCTCATTTTCTTGTTAATGGTTTTTAACCATTTATGCCTATATAATGCATCGACAGTACCTAGAATCTTGATGACTCTAAGACTGCCCGAGCTCCCCTAGTAATAGACCTTCCCCTTCAACATTTAGAAGGATATGAAAGTATGACTTCCACCTGGTTAATCAAAATCCTGGTCCAAATTCTGCGCCTTTCTAGCTAGCCAAAACATTCTCTCCTCTCCTCTTCTCTCCTATGGCTCTCAACTTCGGGAGGGAATAAATTCATCACATTGGGAACATAATTCGTTTTAGTGTCGATTTTCCCAAAAGAAAAATCTAGAAGCATAAAGAGTACCCGATGCATTTATATATATTATGCAGTAAACGGAAAAGAGTTTGCGAGGCGCTGACCTTTTCAGATGGTAGAGAGGCTTCTGGAGGAAGAAACTGAAAAAGATCTCCCATGTAATCTTCTTCTTCTCCCTCCGCCATTGCAGAACTTCAAGCTGGAAGAGGACCTGAAGACGAAAGGGCACACCGGCGGCTCTTATTGCCTCGGACCTGATTCAATTCGGATTCAATTGACCCGTATTGTCTAGAACCTGTATTCAATTCGGGTTCGGCTTCCATACGGTTTACTTAAGCAATTTGGTATCCTATGAGATGATATTGCATGGCCTTACTTGGAGAATAGCAGTTAGCGATTGGCTGTTGACTGTTTGTGTTGCCTGATTTGAGTGGCAGTTTGAATTAATAGTTTTTGACCGACTATTTGTATTGGCTGTTAAAGAAAACTTGTTTGGTAAATTCAGCTACCCATAAACAACTATTGGTAGTGAAAATTACATTTTTAGACATTCCTCATAATATGTAAAAATTAATTTGTTATTGTAATGAGTATAATTTTTTAAAGTTTGATAGAAAAACCAAATTATATAAACAAATAACGTGCTTGAAACTGGATTGCGCAATATTTTCAATCTCTTGAGTCATACCATACGGAGTATGGATGTACGAAAGGACAAATAAATAAATTACTCCAAGATGCCAATGAAAATGCTGCAGTGATTGGCTTTTCAAATTTCAGCAGTTAGGATCTAAAAGCCAATCTTAAAAGCCACGTTCCAAACATTACTTTTGGCTGTTTTGACTAGTCAAAACAGCCATAGCCAAATTTGGGCTGAAAAGCCATTTTCCAAACAAGACCATTATGGCCCATTTCGGCATTTTCTATCACTCTTAAAAGTTAGTGTTGACACTTTGAAGGGGTGGGGGGTGTGTTCGGGTCGGGGCAGGGTGGGAAGTTTACTGGGAAGGTTAGAGGGGTAAGAACCGTCAATTTTACGAACGGGACACCGCAGTGTCTCCGGATTATCCCATGACATCGCCCGACAATGTCATGGAAATCTTGCCGCACAAAAAAATACGTAGTACTTAAGTTTTAAGCAATTTAGAGCATGAGCAATGGCAAGTAATGAGTGGAATGCCACACGCTGAAATTGGGTAACCAATTAAAAACAGGTTAAACAGGCTAGTCAGCGTGTGGGCCAAATGAGTGGAGTGTCAAACCTTACAATGGCAAGTCATTGTTTTTATTTTTTTTATACTTCTTGACATATTTTAATTATTAAAAGTTATTATACTTATTTAATATATCATAAAAACATTACTACTTACTCAAAAAAATTAACAGCTTTTTTCCCTAAAAAAAGAAAAGAAAAAAAATTTAAAAAAAAATAAAATGGGTGCAAGATTGCCACGCTTGTGACTCGCAAAGAAGGGTGTCATGCTCTATCCACGCATGGCAATAGTGTCCTCCATGATGATGTGGCAGCAAGGCATCAGCAAAGCAGGGAGGCTACACGCCGTTGCCCGTGCTCTTATAAGTTATATATTATTTATCAGCAATAAACCAATAAGCACCAATACAAAAAAGACCTCTTAAATGTAGTGGGAATCAACAAAATTGGCTCGATAAATGAGACTTCGTACTCCGTAAATTTTTTAAATTAGATCACATGTATTTACTAATAATGAAATTATAAAAAGTACAGAGTAGTAAATTACAACACCTAGAAAAACTACCATCTCGATCTACAACTATCGTCGCCGTGGTCACTGATGCAAACTGCCATTATTATCATCCTAGTTTGCTACCGTAAAAAAATTGTTATATAGTGTCAAGTAATGTAAAGAACTAAATAAATTCTGAAAGTATTATAATTTGTCAAAAGACAATACCAAATTGAACATCTTAATACTAACATCATAACGGCAACATAAAAAAAAGGAATTCAAACTATTTTTAAAACTACCCGAAGCTCTTTTATTGTTTAGGGAGTAGTTTTTACTGCAATTTTACCCTCTCCCATGGAATTCCTCTAAACTCTTTACTCAGTTGCTAAGTTATAGCGGCCAAAAACAAATTACTCCGTAGAAAAAAAAAAAGGAAAAAACACGTGTCCGTATTATAACGGCCTAACTAACCGTCTTCTCCCCCTCTTCTCTCTCTGACTCAAGTCCTCGTCTCCGTCGTTTCCTCTCTTCCTCCGGCCACTGTCAGGTAAAGTAAAACCCAGAATCTCAATTTCTCTGTGTTCATGGATTTGCTCATTCTTCATACAACTTCCTCGTGCGCGCGATCGTTTTAATTTGGATCTTCAACTTCTAAGCGGCGTATTGTGTACATGAATTATCGCCTGTCATTTCTTTCATTCTTCCATTAATGTGCTTATGCGCACGAGCTGTTTGTAGATATCTCTTTTTGTTCGATCGGAGCGTAATTTGGAGTTGTGGATGTCGATTGAGTGCCGGATTCTGATAATTTGCTCGGTTTTCATTCTTACACAGTTCGTTCGTAGCTCCGATCACTGTGCGATTTGGATTGTTTCTGTAATCGAAGAGTTAGTCTCAGTGGAATGCCTTTCTGGTGAATGTTATTCCTTTTTATTGTTATTATTTTGCGATTTAGATTGTTAGTAGTATAATCGAAGAGTTGTTTTTGTTCAGGTGAAATTGAGTGTTTCTGATTCTTAATCACAATGGCTACACAGTTCAAATGGTTCTGCGTCAGTGCGTATATCTTCATGTCGATTCTGTCTTTCCAGGCTTGGTCATTCACTAATGACCTTGAAGGTACCTGATGTTTGATTCGTATTTTTTTGTACAGAGATTCCAGAATTCTGTTAAATAAGCCTACGGTAATACTTTTGATTGCCCACTGAAGATTTGTGGAATTGTTTATTTTACTGCATAAAGTTATTGAAATGGAATTTGTGTGATTGTTCAAAGAGTTCTGCTTCAGTGTGTACTTCACCTTTATCTGACTGTTTTCTCTTCTTGTTTGGCAGTTCAAACTCTGGGAGAGATGTACAAAGCCTTGAACATCCCACCACAACTGAAAAACTGGAGTGTTGAGGGCGGGGACCCATGCGAGGACTCATGGATAGGAGTAGGATGCTCAGGGTCTACAGTGATTCAAATGTATGCATTGCATTGTAATTCATCCTCATTGATAACTGTGGACTTAGCTTTTGGTCACTTATTCCTCTTTCCAAAATATGACAGCAAACTTCAAAGTTTAAACCTCACTGGTACATTAGGATTCCAGCTTTCCAATCTTCAAAACTTGAGACATCTGTAAGTTAATACAGCATTTTAAATTTTCAATGCTTAAAATAAGAGACCCAATGTTTGTTAATTGTGGAAATTTGTTCTACTTTAGGGACCTTAGCTTTAATAACATTCAAGGCGAAATCCCATATGACTTGCCTCATAATCTGACTCACTTGTAAGTAATTAATGTTCTTGTCTGTGCTTCTGATTTACCTTAAAACCACAAGTCTTGAACACTCTTTGTCACGTTATGCTAGTAAATTTGTATATACTACATAGATGGTTGCTCAACTAAGCCTGGTTTACCAAATCTTTGTACAAGTACAGGAATTTAGCATGCAACAACTTCAGGAATAGCATTCCATTTCCATATTCTTTGACTAGTATGAACCATCTCACACAGCTGTAAGCAGACACACTGGTTGTTTGTTCAACTATGTAACTCGGGAATACAACATTTACTTAGTATTTTTCTCACAGGAACCTGAGCCACAACATGTTATCTGGACCTTTAGGTGATTTCTTTGGTGGCTTGGTGAATCTGAAGCAGATGTATGGGATTTATCAGTTCTTCATGATTTAGTTTTTTATTTAATACTGAACACTAAGTTCTGATCACTAGATATTTCAAAGCTAATCTAGACGTACAATATCAGATTTCTAATTCTGGATTCAATGTTAAATCTCAGGGATTTATCATACAATAACCTTACCGGTGATCTGCCAAGTTCATTTGAAGCAATGAAAAGCCTAAAAAGCTTGTAAGTTTTCCCCCTTCCCTTTGATCATTATTATCCAAGCTTTTCTTCAGTTCAATAACTAAATAACTGCGATGAGTTGTAGATTTTTGCAGAGTAATTCGTTCACTGGATCAGTCATTCATTTGGCCGGGCTCTCACTTAATGACCTGTGTGTTTCTCTGCATTGACTCTGAAGGTATTCATATCAGAATTCACGCTTTGTTTCCATTCTCACTTGTTTCAATTCCCAGGAATATTGAAGACAATCACTTCAGTGGTGTAATTCCAGAAAACTTTCAACAGATAAAAAACTTATGGTAAATTATCGGCATCACACTCCACTCTCTTTTTCTCCATTGCAGCAGTGTCCTTCACTCCTTGCACGTTTTTTTAACCGCAATCTGTAATCAGGTTTTGGGGCAATAGTTTTCAAACTGGAGAAAACGATTTACCTTGGAATTTCCCTCTGGAGGGTGTTCCCAATCAGAACATCAGTAGTCCACCAACTATGCAGTCCAGTGCCATTGAGAAAAACAATCCTTCACATACTGAAGAAGGGCACAAAAGAAAAAGGGCACACACCTGGACAATAGTAGCTGTGGTTATTGGAGCTGCTCTTGTGGCGATCTTTGCTACACTCTTCATTGTTGTTTGGGCTCATAGATCTCGGAAGCCAATGTACATAGGTTCAGAATGCACTGAAAATTCTATCCATTCTCTTCCTACCAGTACAGCCAAAGGTAATGGGAGTATAATTCAAACTCCACTTTATAAGTACGTTTTTCCTACATCCTTAAATTCTTGTCTTTGTTCAAACCCCAGACTTCTCTTCTACTGTTAAAGAAGACAGTCAATATTCATCACAAATGAGCTCCCCACTGCTGATTTCTCCATGGCAATTACCGCCCATTCCAACGAGAACCATGAGGATGTCCAAAAGGAGTTCTGCCAACAAGTTCAAAGGCCCAATATGCGCGAAAGTCTACACGATAACCGAGCTTCAATCTGCAACAAACAACTTCAGTCAGCAAAATCTTCTCGGAGAGGGATCACTTGGGTCCGTTTACAGAGCAGAGTTCCCTGATGGACAGATATTTGCTGTGAAGACTATCAACATGGTAGCACTATCTCTCCAAGAAGAAGAGATATTTTTGGATGTGATTAGGACAGCATCGCGATTGAGGCACTCCAACATTGTAGCACTTTCCGGCTACTGTGTGGAGTACGGCCAGTACTTCCTTGTGTATGAGTACATAAGGAGTCATTCTCTTCAGGATGCCCTTCATAGTACTGGATTAAAATCTCTGTCTTGGAAACTTAGACTCCGTATTGCACTTGGTACTGCTCGTGCTTTGAAGTAAGTGGTGCCCAACCTCTTTCACTAATCACTAGTTGCCTTAAGATGGACCATACAGAACCTATATATAACTGTCCTTTCATTTCATGTTTTCCTGTCAGTTACTTGCATTCTTCCTGTGTGCCTCCTATTGCACATAGCAACCTGAAGGCTGCCAATGTCTTACTGGATGAGGATCGTACCCCTAGGGTTTCTGACTGTGGGCTTGCAAACTTGAGAACCCTGACAACCAACAGTGTTAAACTTAAGGTATATACTCCAACTAATGTGGGTGATATGACTTTGCTTACAACTAACTAATAACCCATTTCCATATATTTCATCAAATCCAAGCAGGCTTCTGAGATGGCAATATCTGAGAGTGGCTATGTCCCACCCGAACATATACAAGGGGGAATTGGGAACACGAAGGCAGATGTGTACACTTTTGGCGTCTTACTTCTTGAGCTTCTCACAGGAAGGAGGCCGTTGGACAGGTTTAATACTAAATGAAGCCATTAACTAATGATAACTTTTGATCTAAAATCAATGATAACTTTTGACAATGCTATTGCTATGATTTGATCCGCACGTCTTTGATGACTCAGCTCAAGGCCAAGGGATGAGCAACATCTGGTGGAATGGGCTTCGAGCAGGCTTCGTGACGAAAATGACTCTCTAGCAGAGCTGGTTGATCCATCCATTTCAAGGAAAGTATCCTCCCTCGCTCTATCGCGAATTGCTCACACCATCTCCCTCTGCCTTCAGGTACAAACATATCACCAATTGATCCCTTTTTTTCCCATTTCAAAATTTGACTGTTTGATTCGGAGATTGTGACGAGAATGACGATTTTGAAATTCTAAAAATTGGCAAGCAGGCTGAGAAGGAGAGGAGGCCGGAAATGTGTGAGATAGTGGAGTGGCTAATGGCACTGGTGTCAAAGAAGTCTGTACCGGTGAGCGAAGAAGAAGCAGCATCAACAGCTGAAGCTGACCCTTTTGAGCGATCCTTCCGAACCACCAAAACCCACTTGCTTGGGTCACCCAGGCTTGCCTAAACTCTCACCACCTCTCATCAGTAAGCAACCCTACCAATCATTTGATTCTTTAGCTACATTTTGTGCTGTATGAAACATGAACACACCCCCCCCCCCCAACTTGGATATTTTACCATCTAAAAATCTAAATCTAGCTTTTGGGCAAGTCGTCCATGTGCATATTACAAGCAGTTTCGAGTCTAGCAATAGATAAAACAAACAAACAAATTATTGCTTCCATCTACTCCCACCCCCACAAAAAAAAATTGAAAACTTATTTTGGCACATAATAGTCATATTTGAATGTTCAGAAAACGTGTCAATCAAGATAAAAAGAGTTAAACCTTTCAAAAAAAGTTAAAAAAGTTTCAAGTTTCATCAAATAAATAACCAGATTTAAGAACATACAAGTTGGAATTGAAGATTTTTTCCACCTTGTGCGTAAAATACTTTTGTTGTTTGATCCGTCAATAATGATGGGCTATTTCAAAAATAATTTCAATTATTGGGTTAAACATTCCAAAAAGAAAAATGCTAGGGTACACCAAAGGTGTACCCATATATCCCCACCCTCTCTTTGTCCACTAAAAAAGGCAAAAAAATTTTAAAAAACTAAGTAAATAAAAATCAAATAAAAATGTGTGGTGGAGAAAGGGATGATGTACATTTTGGGTACACCTTTTGGTGTACTCCTAGCATTACTCTTCCAAAAATCGTCAATGATTTTACATACGTATTTCAAAATGTATTCCAGTTTGACTCAATTACTCTCAATTTTTGTATTGCATATTAATAAATTGAAATCAAATTTTGAAAGTTCACATCAAGATAAATCCAATTAATTATTTTTATACTAATGTAAATTACATTTTTTTATTTAATTGAGGTTCGAAATTCACTCTTTGACAAGTAAATATTTTCTTTTTTACAAATGGGCCTAATTTCTTTATGATATCAATACATTAATTAAGAGCCATAAAATTAATATAGACCTTAGGACCACGTAAAAATTTGCCTTAAAATAAATAGTAGAGTAGGACTTCGGGGATAGTGCTCATGATTTTTTTAGATGTAATTTAAAGTGATGAAAAAGTAAATTTATATAAAACAAGTACTTAAATGAATAAAAACGATCATTTTTAAGTGAAAAAAATATAATATGAATATTTTCTTTTTTATAAAAGGCCTAATTTTTTATGATATCAATACATTAATTACGAGCCATAAAATTAATATGGACCTTAAGACTATATAAGAATTTGCCATAAAGTAAATAATAGGGCGGGAGTTCGAGGATAGCGAACAGAAATTTTTTTAAAATGTAATTTAAAATGATGAAAACGAGGTAAATTTATATAAAACAAGTATTTAAATAAATAAAAACAATAAATTTCAACTACGGGCAATATAAAACAATCTGGATTGTCGCAAGTTTGCGTGGAAGAGCGGCAACCCTATGTGCGGATAGGAGAAATGATCCAGGCGATATTCGTCTGGAAGGAACTGAAAAACCCTAGCTCCAACTATCGTTGATGCCAACAACGATGAAGATCTCAATGAAGATGACGATGACGATAACGATGACTATGCTGATTAGAGTAATTTGGAGTAATGTAAGTTTAATTAGACTATTAGATTATATTTCCAAATTTGAAGAGAATGAACAATATGTTACTTGAGAATGAACACTACGTAATTTGAGAGTAGGCACCACTTTGTTTCAGAATGAACACTACTAAGTTATTTGTAAATGATTATTATTATTGTATTATATAAATGTGTGAAAATGAGTACTACTATATACAATCTTTATAAGTTCATAAAAAAATATTGTATACCTCAACATTTTTCAGAATATTCTAATTTAAATAAGACTTTGAAATGTTAATTTTTAATTATATATAGTAGAATTTTCATTAGTAACTTCTTTATGTTTATGTTGTTTGATATTTGAAAAGTTTTGTCACGATGAAAAATAACAAAAACAAAAAAAATTATTTCAACCGGTTATAATTAGACAATAGACAAAAAAGAAGTCCACTACGGAAGCTCTAAGAACGAACGGGGCAGATGTTACTAGCCATACAACTTAAGTACTTGTAATTAAAAGGAACACCTTCCAATGTAATAGTAAGAACTATGAAAAATGCTAAGATAAAAATTTTAAATATTTTAAGAACAAATTCAGAGCTCATGTTACTATTGTTATACTGCTACACTTATCATATTATCAAATCACGACTGTCACACTATCATTGTTACACAGTCATTCATAGTCGCCGGCCACTAGTAGAGTACCTCATTAATTGTTGACGGTTTACTGATGACACTGTCATCACCTTTTCATCATACTGTCAATGTGTACTCTTACATCACACTGTCATTATACTCCTATTTTAGTTTTAAAAAACTCAAGACTCATGTTTTAATATTTTAATAATTTTTCTCCTTTTTGAAGGATTTTTTAAATTAAAAACTACTATGTATATACTCCGGGTATTAAATAGCACAATTTTAAGTCAAAGAACCAATTCAATTAATAATTTAAGCTTGTGATTATATGCACACAAAAAGTTTTATATACTTTAACACGTCTTTTCATGCAAGCAAGATTTGTATTTTCTCGAATCTTGCACGTAAATATTAAAATTCTTTAAAATTGGTGGTGGCGGTAATATTCAAAATCTAAACTCATGATTTCTTGGTTAAAAACTAAAATACAAACATGTGATTAGAGATCGAAGAATTATACACAAAGTATGTGACTGATAAAATTATGACTATTCTTACCATCCAAGAATAAAAAATACACCTCCTATAAATATTAACACACATTCATACAACATCTTCTTTAAAATATATTTTCATCTGTAATCTAAGTACTTATGACCCATCTTATTTTATACTCCTTTCGTCCTAATTTAAATTGTTTATTTATTATTTACATGATCAAATTTTATCGATATTTTTGACCTATTTTCATTACATATTTAAGAAAATAATATACTCTTGTCGCTTTTTGTTTTTTATAATTTTTGATTTTTTTAAAAATGCACTCCATATAAATTTAATTTTATAATTTCCTACTAATTTTTATATAAACTGAATTTAAAATAAATTATGTCAAATCTTGTAAACAAGAATAAGCGATTCTTTTTGAGACGGAGAGCGTAAATTTTTTGACAAATTATTTAAATTAAAATGTGCCTTTTAGATCCTCATATACTCATATACTCACTCCGTCCATAAATAAACTTCACGTTCACTATTCCTAGGGTCAAACTTTATTCACTTTATTGGCCCCACCCATTTGATAAAATAATAGTGTCATGTTCACCTCTAGTTTTGTAGATCTTTTGATATAATTTTTAATATATAATTTTTATTTTTAAATTTTATACCATTATTGATATAAAATGATTTGAAAATAACTTCAGTCAAACATCGTAACGCGTATCGAAAAGTTTATTTGTGGACGGAGTGAGTAATTGGTATGTAGCCTAGCCTATAGTGTAGAGCACGTGTAGTATATAGTACCATAAGTACGGGTGACGAGATTACAAGAACTAATACACGATGCAGATCTTAAGTTGCTGTAATTTATTTATTTAAACACTAAACGAGAATTAGCAAAGGAGTCGCTGTAATTTACCTGTAATTACCAAAGCGCCTGAAAACGAGAAAGAAAACCACACACGCAAACCGACCCACCGCACCGAAGAAGAAAGAGAGACCGAATTCACCGAAAATGTGTTTCTCTCTCTAGAAAACAGTACCCCTTTTAAAGGCCTCCCCTTTTCCTCCCCCTCTCTTCACCCTCACTCATCACTTCCCCCCTTCTGCTTTTTCTCGGTGGATTAAGATTCAATTTATATTCAGAACCCCAAATCTCTTTAATTAGCTCCCCTCTGTACCTTCAATCTTCCAGGTATATTCGTTTTTACACCCCACCTCGAAGAATTTCGACTACTTTATTTATATTTCTGGTTTTGTTTTTTGTTTTTTAAATTAGTCTGTTCGTGTGTAGATAGAGTTTGATTTTCTGCTTCTTTGTTGTGCATTGAATACTTTAGATTTTTTTATTTATTTATTTGATGGAGACCCATTAAGCTTTCTTTTGTTAATAATAATGGCGTTTCGCCTTTCATGCTTGAAGAAGGGTCCAGATCTAACATTTTCATTGGGGTTTTCTTTGACATTTCTTTGACATTTCTTTGACTTTTTTTTATTATAAATATCTCGTCTTTTTTTTTTTCCTTTTTTTTGTTTATTTATTTTTAGTGTTAAGCATTTATGGGTTCTTGAATTTAATTAATTTGTCTGACTAAAACATTGGGTTCTCAGATGGTTTGCCTTGCCCTTCATTCATCCTGAGCTTTCTGAAAAGATTTGTTAAGTTATTGATTTTCTTCTTCTGGCTTCAATTACTGATTTCTTGATTTGCCAGCTGAGTGGGAAGATAAGGGTTTGAAGAAGATGCAGAAACCACCGCAAGAAGACTTTTCTCTTAAGGAAACCAAACCCCACCTGGGCGGTGGGAAGGTGACCGGCGATAAGCTCACCAGCACCTATGACCTCGTCGAGCAGATGCAATACCTCTATGTCCGGGTTGTGAAGGCCAAAGAGTTGCCTGCCAAGGACGTCACCGGGAGTCTCGACCCGTACGTCGAGATCCGGCTGGGGAACTACAAGGGCACGACCGGCCACTTTGAGAAGAAAACCAACCCGGAATGGAACCAAGTGTTTGCCTTCTCCAAGGACCGGATGCAGGCTTCGGTTCTAGAGGTTCAGGTGAAGGACAAGGATCTGTTGAAGGACGATTTCGTCGGGAGGGTGTTTTTCGATCTGAACGAGATCCCCAAGCGGGTCCCACCCGACAGCCCGTTGGCGCCTCAGTGGTACAGGCTGGAGGACAGGAAGGGGGAGAAGATTAGAGGGGAGCTCATGTTGGCTGTTTGGTTGGGCACTCAGGCCGACGAGGCCTTCCCCGAGGCCTGGCATTCGGACGCCGCGTCCGTCAGTGGGTCCGACGGCATTTCCAGCATAAGGTCCAAGGTCTACCTCTCCCCCAAGCTCTGGTACTTGAGGGTGAATGTGATCGAGGCCCAAGATTTGGTGCCGAACGACAAGAGCAGGTACCCCGAGGTGTATGTCAAGGCCATTTCTGGAAACCAGGGTTTGAAGACCCGGGTCTCGGCCGCCAAAACCCTTAACCCAATGTGGAATGAGGATTTGATGTTTGTGGTTGCCGAGCCGTTCGAGGAGCCCCTGATATTGAGCGTGGAGGACAGGGTGGGTTCGGACAAGATTGAGGTTCTTGGGAGGTGCGCCATTCCCCTGCACTATGTGGACAGGAGGTTTGATCACAGGCCGATGAACTCCAAGTGGTATAACCTTGACAAGCACATGGTGGAGGGGGAGAAGAAGGAAGTGAAATTCGCGAGCAAGATTCACATGAGGATATGGCTTGAGGGCGGGTACCATGTCCTCGACGAATCCACCCACTACAGCAGTGACCTCAGGCCAACTGCAAAGCAGCTGTGGAAGCCGAACATCGGCGTTCTTGAGCTGGGCATCCTGAGTGCCCACGGGCTCTCCCCGATGAAGTCCAAGGACGGACGGGCGGAGACCGACGCCTACTGCGTCGCCAAATACGGGCAGAAGTGGGTCCGGACCAGGACCATAATCGACAGCTTTTCCCCGAGGTGGAACGAGCAGTACACCTGGGAGGTGTTTGATCCTTGCACTGTCATAACCATTGGGGTGTTCGATAACTGCAACCTCCACGGCTACGGAGGCGGCGGCGGGTCGAGGGACATGAGGATCGGGAAGGTCAGGATCCGGCTCTCCACCCTGGAAACGGACCGGGTGTACACCCATTCGTACCCTCTGCTGGTCCTGCACCCGAACGGGGTGAAGAAGATGGGGGAGATCCAGCTGGCGGTCCGGTTCACCTGCTCCTCGCTGCTCAACATGATGCACATGTACTCCCAGCCCCTCCTCCCCAAGATGCACTACATCCACCCCCTGACCGTGGCCCAGCTGGACAGCCTGAGGCACCAGGCGACCCAGATCGTGTCGACCAGGCTGGCCCGCGCGGAGCCCCCCCTGAGGAAGGAGGTGGTGGAGTACATGCTGGACGTGGGGTCCCACATGTGGAGCATGAGGAGGAGCAAGGCCAACTTCTTCAGGATCATGGGGGTTCTGGGGGGGCTGATCGCGATCGGGAGGTGGTTCGACCAGATATGCAACTGGAGGAACCCCATCACCACCGTCCTCATCCACGTCCTATTCCTGATCCTGGTCCTCTACCCGGAGCTCATCCTCCCCACCATCTTCCTCTACCTCTTCCTCATAGGGGTGTGGCACTACAGGTGGAGGCCGCGCCACCCTCCCCACATGGACACCAGGCTGTCCTGCGCCGAGAACGCGCACCCCGACGAGCTGGACGAGGAGTTCGACACCTTCCCGACCTCCCGCAACCCGGACATCGTGAGGATGAGGTACGACCGGCTGAGGAGCATCGCCGGGAGGCTTCAGACGCTGGTGGGGGATCTGGCCACCCAAGGGGAGAGGGTGCAGGCTCTGCTGAGCTGGAGGGACCCCAGGGCCACTGCACTGTTTGTGATCTTCTGCCTGGTTGCTGCCATTGTCCTCTACATCACTCCCTTTCAAGTCATCGCCGTCCTCATCGGATTCTATGTCTTGAGGCATCCCAGGTTCCGCCACAAGCTTCCCTCCGTGCCCCTCAATTTCTTCCGGAGGCTACCCGCCAGGACCGACCGCATGCTCTGATCATCCCTTCGCCCGCCGTCTTGGGTTCCTGTCCCCATCATCTTTCTTGCTAGTGAAATATATATATATCTATATATATGTTGTCTGTGTAATGTGTCTGTTGTTATGGGATTTGATTACCCATTGTTGGTGGCCCCCCTGGGGTGGTCCATCTTCCTTTCCTTTTTGTGTGTGTATTATTAAGTTGTTCAAATTTGGAGTCTGTTTAAGATGTTGTTCTTGGGGAACCTTTGTGTTTAAGATGTGTTTTATGTATGGCCTAATAGTGCTTGAAAAAACATCATTAAATGTCAGTAATGCATATTTAGTCATGTTTCCTGTTTATAGATTCTCATAAATTGATCGATTGTCACAACTGTTGATTGGTTTAATGCGGTGATAAGTTCTGTCATCTTACTGAAATGGTAAATAAAAGTTTAAACAAGAAAGTGTTTGATGTGTTGAATTCACAAAGGTACTTGGGAGTAGGATTCATTGGTGTGAATTTCCCATGGTAGATAGATAGAGCATTTTAATGTGAAGCGAAATTTATAGTGCTGATTAGGAATTTACCGAATTAGCATGATTGATGGAGTAATAACAACCAACATGTGAAAGTGAAGGGGACATCTTTGATAACGCCAATTCAAGCAACTTTTTGGTGCATTATTTACTTGTCCTCCATATATAAGTCCTTTATTCTTGTGTTTCATCATCGAACCAAGGGTTCGTTTGGTAAGGAAAAGAATGTAGAATGGAATGTTTTTTTTTTTTACATCTAAGGGGCTGTTTGGCAACTTCTGAATCGGTAAGTGCTGAACCAGTAAGAGGTCTGAACCATTAAGAGCTAGTATATTGCTTAACTATTCAGAGGCAAATGTCTGATCAATTCAGATAAAAGGTCTTAACCATTCAGACTCTGTATAATACTTAACCATTCAGAGGCAAATCTCTTAACCATTCAGACATCTGAACCATTAAGAGGCTGAAACAAACAATCTGAACCATTAAGTGCTGAACCATTCAGACATCGGAACCATTAAGAGGCTGAAACAAACATCCCCTAAGAGTGGGATGAGTTTTGATATCAAGTACTCCGTATATGATTGTTTGGTGAAAATATAAAATGAAATCAAATCAACTGAGCTCTTGCGTTTCCGGTGATGGCGTGAGTGGTTGGTTGACTAGCGATGTACGAAATATCAAAAATTTCGAATTGATATCACTCGAAAGGTGGTTAAAACCTCGGGAGATATCATGACTCATTCCCCCCCTTTTTTTTTGATGAAAATTAAAACTCATACCTTTCTCTCTAAAGGATAGAATCGTGATATATTGATATCCCAATATGTAAATGTTACCGTAGAAAGGTCAAACAAAAGACTATCGGTGTAAAGACTATCAATATATGCAATATTGCTTTCCCAATATTGCATATATTAGTTTTTCTATTAATAGTATATTTATTATAGCTATTTATCCTATTATATCAAATATCTAATGTACTAAGGCATTACTTTATTTATTAATTTTTTTTAGTTATGTAAAATATTGTCCAAGCAAGTTGGGCCGACGCCCAAAGCCCGTGGGTACTCATATGGGTTGAGCTTTGGCTTCATTGTTAGGCCTGCGATGTTAGTCGGGCCGGACTTAGGCCTAAAATATTCTCGTAATATAATACGGAGTATTTGGTTTGTTTCGAAACTTGGTTCGACTCAGACTCTGATCAGAAGTATTTTCTTCAAAGTTTCAAAGATCTAACCCATTCTGGACCTCCCAATAGATCCCATCAAATGAGAATGTTTCCAAAGACAGAAATGTTGGCCCAGTCTCAGGATGGCATAAAAGCAGGCGAAGGTGTCTTGTAGATTTTAGGGCTTTAATTCATTGAATTTGGGACATAAGTTACAGTTTATTACTAGAATGAAGTTTGCAATCCCTTTAAAACCAAGCATGGCTTCTTCAACTCAGGCCTCCCACCTAACACGCCAGATCTCCATTGCCATCAACAGTGAAGCTCTGAGGGCTTGCCAACGAGCTCAAGAAATTGTTGACCATTAGGTGTTCGACGATTTGCCTGAACGAATGAACATGAAGAAAACCGCTATGGACTCATCATCAATCATCATCATCATCATCTGATTTCAGGTACTATTGCTTTCTGGTACCTTTGACACTTCCTTTTGTTCTTGTTGTTGCTGTATATTTCCATTGGCTCATCATGAAACTCTTTAAGCACGCTTACGATGTTTTTCTATGTTACCAAGCAAAACAAAAAAAAAGGACATGTTTAGTCTGTGCTAGTGGCTGTTCCAGATGGAAACATCTCAGCACTCTGCAAAGGTACGGTGTATCTAAGAATGAATTACTACGAATGTGCATCAGGACAATGGTGGGCTGGTGGGAGAAAATTACCTATATACCAGTAAAAGGAGGCTTATTTCCGCAAATAGGACCACTCCTATTTGGATTTGCGTAAACATGGATAAAATCACTTAAATGTGCCCAACTTCGATTTTAAGAAATTGACTCCAATCCGTGGCAAATTCTATGGTGGGCTAGATAGGAACAAAATAAGCATTTCTTATTACTTAAATAAGCATCCATTTTTTTAATAAAAAAATTCTTTATGTGAGAAGGTCCACAAAAATGACATGCACCTAATGACTAAGGTACATCATACATGCAAATGAAAAATAGAAAATTCGTATACGTAAGAGGATATAACATTTATTTAGTTAATTAAAACTGGGCCGATTCTTGTAAGAATGGATATTGGTGAAAGAAATAAGAATGATGCATTTTTGTTTGCAATGGTGCATTTTACAAAGCAGGTAGTTCACCACAGTGCATTTTCAAAGCAGATAGTGCATTTACAAAGTTTGGTTTAATTAAAAAATTGCCACCGTGATTTTTCTGATCTTTTTCTTATTTTTCAAATTTTTATAGCCCTTAGATCTCACATTATAAAGCACCACGGACTTATATTCTTATAGCTAAAATCCACCATTAGTCCTTCAACCTTGTAAGCTATGCACGATTGGTCTTTCAAGTTTTAAAAGTTCATAAATAGTTCTTCAAGTATTCAACAACCTCCAAATTCAGCCCTTCCGGTACACGTTATACTATATATAACTTCCGCCTCAGTGCCGGATGCAACTTCCGACCTGTAATGGGTGCCCGGTGCTGGCCTTGCCCTCCGAGCAGCGCAGCGCAGTGGGTCTTTTCCTCCCGTTGTAAATGCTGGGGATAATTTTACTTTCAAAGGGATCCAATTTGTAAACCCATTAATTCTCTATACGTAAAAAAACAATCATCTACGTATAGGTACAAGTACTTCGTGTTATATATATGGGAGTAGTAATCTATTTACTCCCTCCGTCCCACTATATTTGTCCACTTTCATTTTTGCACAGCATCCAATACACTTTTTTAATCTATTTTTTCTTGAAATTTGTATATTAAAAAATTATAGAAATTATATATTAATAATCTATATGTTAAGACAAATCAAACAAGATCACGCATGACTGTATTTAGGCTTACACATTGAGAGAATTTGATGAGTCAAAGTGCTTAGATGAACAGTTCCAAAAGTCAAATGTGGACGAATATAGCGGGACGGAGGGAGTATTTTTATTCCTTTTAACGTATACCGTAAAGAAGATTGCATTTCGAGGGTTGATGAATACTTGAAGGATTGCTTATGCACTTTTGGAACTTGAAGGACTGCATGTGTAAAGTTATGAATACTTGAAGGACTATTTATGGAATTTTGAAACTTGAAGGACCAATCGTGTATAGCTCATAAAGTTGAATGACCAGTCGTGGATTTTAGCCCATTCTTATTTCTTTCCAAAGATTTCAATCTAATGTGAACCAAAATCAATTCAAACTATACTTAATTTATGATCAAATAGACAATAAAAGTTAAACTAAAACACTAAATTTGGAACAAAGTATATATTTACCGTATTAAAAGCATTTGGGCATGTAATTTGCTTAATTATTCTATATAAATTGCTAATGTCCTCAAGTGGATGAATTTAATTATTTACTCCGTAATATTTATTTAGTTAGTTTTTTTTTTTTTTTGCATTTGTTGTGAACATAATATCTTGGGAGAAACATTTTTGGCATGCTATTAGCGTCTATAAAAAGGCCATTACGAGAATTATGGAACCTATTTAGTGAAATAATAAACCCGGGTGAATAATGTCGTAGTGCAACAAATATTGCGAAAATGCAGTATATGTGATGAATGAGAATTTGACAACTTTTTTAAGGCAATATTATCTTCACACCATAATGACTTAATTAAGCGATATTGCCATATGGATAAAATTTTAGTGTGACAATTGCAATGACTTTGGGCAGTAAAGTCTTAAATATAATTATGGATAAAGCCAAAGATAGTACACAATTGCAATCTTTTAAATTAAATCAGATTGTTTTACACAACTGGGAGCGAGAGATAGATAAAAGCCAAAGATAGTACAATTGCAATCTTTTAAGCGCAATATATTATCTTACGTGAATGCCTTAAGTGATTAACCTTTAGGTCATTGTATACCAGGGACATATTGAAATTGATCAATGCATACCAATATAACTTGCGTAGCTTGATAATGTTTTAATTTAGGGTAAGAATGTTTAACAACTTAACAACCATAATTCTGCAATATTATTTTGGTCTAACAAAAATAATGGTTTTGCCATATTTTCCAACATAATAATGTCTAAAAATAAAAATCATTAATTAAATATTATAAAGTTTAGTTACACATTGGCATCATAATGCCAGAACCAACAAAAAATAAAATAAGACCTTTTATATATAAAAGACCCTACATATTGGTATTTTGACTTTTAGGAGAAATAAGGAGTGTGTACTTATGGTTGACTTTCTAATTTTGTCATTGATGTGATGAGTAAAAGAAAGATGTGATGGATAGATTATTAGTGAAAAAGTACGATGTGATAGATATATATGGTAAGAAAAAGCAGGGGTCAAAGTGGTTTTTAATAGAAAGTGAAAGTGTTTTGGAAAAAAAGAGAAAGTATTTTAAGAAATGGAGGGAGTATATAAATTTATTTTTTTGAACTTTACTTTAATTTTCATATAAATTAATTTAAATACAGATTATGAAAAAGAAAGAAAAAACGGCCACAAGGGAAAGATCAACCAATTAGTATCAAATGATTTAATTTAAGAGTGTTTCTTTAGTACATATTGGGTGCGTATTATTTTTGTGGATCTTCTCACATAAAAAATCTTTTTTTCATTTAAAAAAGTGCTTATATGTGTAGTAAAGAAATTCTTATTTTACTCATATGTAAGTCCATGGTAGACTTTAAGACCACCATAGGCTTTACCTTAATTTAAACAGAGTATGCAAAACAAAGTAATTATTTCTCACCGTATTATCGATCATCATAATTATTATTATTGTTACACTATTTGATTTCCTTCTTTCATGAACTTTATGTTTTTGGTAGCGATTAGTGAGAAAAAATTCTCACCAATTTTTCCAGCAACTTTTTGGTGCATAGTTAAGTTGTCCTTTATGTATATATCCTCTATTCGTGTGTTTCCTCGTCGAAGGGTTCGTTTGGTTAGCAAAACAATGTAGAGTGGAATGATTTTTTTACATCTAAGAGTGAGATGAGTTTTGATATCGATCAAGAGCAAAAGAATGTGGAATGGAATGGAACTTCTCTCCCGACTTGATGGGGAAGTTCATCTTGGTTCGAGCGCAGTAGAAGTATAGACGTTAACTCTTTGTGCGTCATTAAGTTGAAAATATAGTATGGATAGATACTACATTATAATAGAGTCAATAACATTAAAAAATATAAAATGGAATGTTTTTTTAAATCTAAGAGTGAGATGAGTTTTTAAATCAAGGATATGATTGCTTGGTGCGGCCGGTTCTTACCTGTTTGAGTCGTTTCAAGTCGGTTTATGGGGAGGGTTAGGGGGGTAGGAACCGTCATTTTTACAAACGGGGCACCGTAGGTATCCCAAATGAACTGGTGTAAGCGACTGATGTATAAGTAACTGGTGTCATTTTAGACGCTCCATATATATATATATATATATATATATATATATATATATATATATATATATATATATATAATATTCTCATTTTTTTCGTAATTAATTACATTTTTTTCTCACCTCTAGATAATTACTCGTATAAAAAATAGGGAGTATTTATTTACTCCTAACATTTTTTGCATCAGTAATGATTCTCTTCCCAGTATTAGAACATCATTTAAGTTTTGTCACTTTTTTGAAAGGTTGAAAAGAAGTTAATATATATTCATTATACTCCCTCCTTCCCGGAGTATTCGTCCAGTTTTGACTTTTGGAACTGTTCATCTAAGCACTTTGACTCATCAAATTCTCTCAATGTGTAAGCCTAAATATAGTCATGTGTGATCTTGTTTGATTTGTCTTAACATATAGATTATTAATATATAATTCTATAATTTTTTAATATACAAATTACAAGATAAAATGGATTAAACAAGTGTCTTGGATGGTGTGTAAAAATGAAAGTGGACAAATACTCTGGGACGGAGGTAGTATATTACATTTGGTTTGCTTAATTCTCAAAAAAAAAAAAAGGAGGAATAGTGCACATATCCATCCCATTAAATTAAAACCCCGGCAAACTCAAAGAAAGTTAAATTAGACAACCTTGAAACCGCAGTAAGTAAACTCGAGAAAACTACTATACTTCCAAAAAAACAAACAAGGAGATAGTAGTATACATGGCAGGGTCAAGACTTGTAATAACTACGCTTTTGTTTATAATCACGTGCCTCACACAGCTGATCATCTCCATCTTCATCGTAGTGACAGGCGTTAGGCTAGCCAACTATTGTGTCGATTTTCACTTCAATAAGCCTGTCATTATAATCGGAGTTATGATGCTGGTCATTGGCCTCATTGGGTGCATCGCATTTTGCTGCAAGAATGGGAGGGCTGCCGCCGCATACTTTGTATTCCAGGTTGTTGTGTTCATTTACATGATTGTTGTTATGATTACTTGGTCAATATACACCAGGTACTCACCGGCCGCCCTCGGCGTCGCCTTATTACAAGGAATACCCACTCGACCACTTCTCCCGCTTCTATCGCCGCAAGGTTACCGGTGGGATCAGATTGCAAACTGTCTCGCTCCCTCTGATGGCCGCTGTGCTCAATTGGACCACACCACTACTTACAATAACTCCTCTCAACAGTTCTTCAATGCTGCAAACCTGATCACTCCCCTTGCAGTTCGATCGGGTGTTGTATGCCGCGCCTCAGGAATGTGGCCGGCCGGGTACACTTTCGTGAGCCCAACAAATTGGACATCATCAACGAGCAATCAAACAAATGTTGATTGTGCGAAGTGGAACGTTGATCCGATCCGAGTAAACTGTGCTATTCTTGTGATTCTTGCAAAGCCGGAGTGCTGCTCACCGTTAATAAGAGATTGAAATCAACAAATCTCATCTTGCTTATCACCTTTGGGTTGGCATTCATTGTTTGGGTTGGTAACCTCATTTTGGTATGCATTGATCCCGCGGAGTACCATTGGATGGATTAATTATAGTTCTTAATACTACCTCCGTCCCAAAAAATATGTGAGATTGTACGTGGTTTTTAAGATATTTAAAAGAAGTGTAGTATATAATGATTTAAGATTATACTCCGTGTAATTTAGAGGTACTATCCTATATATGTACAACATATCCTATTCTTGTCAGCTCATGTTTTATATAATTTTTATATACTTTTAAACGGTGTAATTTATACTTCTTATTTCTATACTAATTTATAATTAAAATGATTTTAAAAACGATAAGATTTTGCATATTGATTGAGGTGCGGTATGCAATATGGGATGGAGGGAGTATAACAGATCCTACATTCAATAGATCCGAGCCTACATGCACTTGGACGGTTGGACCTATTAAATACACTTTTTTTTTTACAATTTGCATCGTTCAACGTGGTTCAAACTCATATTCAAATAGAAATCATCCTATGTAGTACTCTAAGATACCTAATACTCCCTCCGTTCATTAAAACAGTTCTTCTTTCATTTTTTCATTTTTCCAAAAACACTTCCATTTTTGTAAAAAATAGCTAATATATCTAAATTAAGTTTTTACAATATACTTCATTCAATTTGCATTGATATAATAAGTCATTTAAATGATTTGTCTCTCTTTTTTTCTTCAATAATAAGAGTATAATTAGAAGGTCAAACTATGAAATTAAATCTCTCTCAAGTCAAAACAGGAACTGTTTTAGGGAACGGAGGAAGTATTACACATATAGCACTCCTTATTGTTTTTTCACACATTTGGCTATTTATAGCGTGGATCTCTTCGAATCATACCTTTTTATTATAGTGCTGTATTTTAATTATTTCATTTACCATATTTATTGAGATCCATAATTTTAGGAGGTTATTCTCATTCCTTGTAGGTAGCATCCCTTAGAGCATGAACAATGACAAGTAAGAAACGGAATGCCACACCATGACGTGGAATATTTTAGCCAATTAAAATCAGTCCAGTCATCGTGTGCCAAATGAGTGGAATTACATGCCTTACAATGGCAAGCAGGGGCGGACCCACATAGAGTCACACGGGGTCACGCGACCCCACGGAATTTTGTAATTTTTTTCTATATATTTATATATATTTAGGTAAAAATATAGTATTACTATATATTTAGCAAAACGCAAAAGTTGAAGCACGGATGTTTAGACGGAGTGGATAGCGGCGCCACTGCTAGTGGTAACTTTGATCTCAGGTTGACGGTTCGAAACTTGGTTGCTACAATTTTGAACCACATTTCGTTTATTTTGTTTCCCTTTTCCATTTTTTTGTACGTTCTTTTTTGTTTTTCTTTTCTTTTTTTTTTGTTTCATTCCTTAATTGCATAGTCATATTCTTCCTCACATAATTATTTTTACTTTTTTTAATAACTCTAAAATAAAAAATCTTTTATGAATTTATGTATACTTTATTTACAAATTGGTATTGATATAAAAATTACTTTTTGTTTATTTTGTTTCCCTTTTCCATTTTTTTGTATGTTTCTTTTTTGTTTTTCTTTTTTTTTGTTTCATTTCCTTCATTGCCTAGTCATATTCTTTCCTTACATAATTGATTTTACTTTTTTTAACAACTCTAAAATAAAAAATCTTTTATGTATACTTTATTTACAAATTGGTATTGAAATAAAAATTAATATTCGTCTAAATTGACTTTTGAAGTCAAACTGGATAAATTTTGATTATCGGTCAATTTAAATTTGAATAGGTTACCGAAATAAAATTAATTTTATTAGATTTATCTTGTCAATTTTTTTCTGAAATTTATTTCTTTTTGAAAATATACCATGCAAAATTTATTTAATTGGCATTAAAATTAATCCAATTCAATATTTTTTAAATAAATCTAATCTTTAACTTTATGAGTTATTCGCATCATCTCGTTATGCTTGACTTAAACATTATTTACAAAGTTAAATTAGATAGTTTTTCATTACATGTTTTTGTCTATCATTTTATTAAAAATTATAGTCATGAAAACTCTTATTTCATAAAAAATTTTATGTTATTTTTAAATCTAAAATTTTAAGTTTTTATTCGACACCAATATTTAAATAAATTTAAAAAAATGTTTTAGTTAAACATTATAAACTGAAATGAGACAAACATGTGACAAGAAAGTACATTTTTACTTAACGTTCGACATGTCATGTGTTGATAAAATATCTCAGAGACACGATCCAAAATTTATGGGTCCGCCACTGATGGCAAGTCACTCTTTTTATTATTTTTACACCTTTTTAATGTATTTTAATTAATAAAAATGATTTTAATTATTTATTTGATCATAAAAATACTTCTATAACATTTATTTAAAAATAGAAGTATTGTTTTTCCTTATTATTCAAAAAGATTAAAAAAATTTACTTTTCCTTATTAAAAAAATTTAAAAATATGTTACCTAATTTATTTAAATGCCTTACAAAAAATAAAAGTATTTTTGTATAAAAAACATCAATCCGTCCGTACCATTTTTCTTCTTATTCCAGTGATTGCTAGTTGCTACACCCCATTTCTTCAAAAAAAGAAAAGGAAAAAAAAGGAAAAAAGAACCTACTTGCCTCGCACATGCCTCGCTCACCGGGGTGGAATGCCCATTCTTCTCCTTGCTAATCGAGGAAGTATCTGATGTGGCAGGGCGAGTCACAGGAAGACCTCGCCGCTGCATATGCTCTTAGAATCACCGTGCCACTCCTTAAATACATTTAATAAACGAAATTGGAAGTGTATACCAACCTTTTTGGTAGTATGGAATGGTCATGTTATGCCTACACTTTCTGGCAGTGTGTTATGCACATGTTTTGGGCAATGTGTTATGGTTCACAATACTTAACTACACTTTCTGGCAGTGTGTTATGCGCATGTTCTGGAAGTGTATACCAACTTAAACACATTTTTAGCAGCGCGAAATGATCATGCTTTGGCAGTGTGGATACATGTTATATTGAATATGACTGCAGTGTGTTATGCCTATATTTTGGAAGTGTATACCAACTTAAACACATTTTTGGCAGTGTGGAATGCAAGGACAAATTTGGAATTGCATCTACACGAGTTCGAATATCCCATAGCAGTGCTATATTGGGTATTTTAAACATATATTAGTGCTATAACGGTACTTCTCTCATATTAAAATGTATGGAGTATCATAGAAAATTTTAAATGCATCACCGTTTTAAAAAATTTCATTACCTAGAAAATAGAGATGCATCATATTTGTATAAGGAGAATGTCACTATTTGATAGATAAAATTCACTTTATTTGATTCTATGAATGCACAATAATTCTTTACCTTGATTTTAAAAATGTGTTGCCTTATCATGCAAATGCATTACTTTTATTTAAAATATACTCCACTGTTTGTATATATACATAATAAGAGAATTCTACACACTATTTGTTCATTAATGATTAAATACTAACAACAATGCAAAATATGCTATAGTACGATGCGCCTTAATTCTTTATGAGCATTTTTTTACAATATTTTTGAAAGTGAAAGCATAAAGTTTTCATTCCACCAAACTATCCTCAAGTTACATGAATCCAACCAACCAAAGCTCAACAAAAGCCTAAAAACATGAAAAACAACAGCTAAAGAAGCACTAAACCCTTTAAGTTACGGAGTATTTGTTTTCCACCCTTTATATTGATAATTTGATATACGTTCTTATTAGGAAGTATAATTAAATTAGGATACTTCTTTCCTTTCCTACTAGGATTATTCTTTCCTTTCCTACTTGTACTTTGATTACTCTTGTATTCCCTATATATAGGGTCATATCTCTCAATATTCAATAAGACAAGTTATTATCAAATTGTATCATGGTATCAGAGCTAAGGCTCTCAAAAACCTAGCCTCTCTTTTTTTCCGACCGCCGCCCATCATGGCAGCCCCGTCGGATCCTTTGGCGTCCTTACCCTCCGGAGTAAAACTTTTGCTTCGGAGTCTCCACAACTTAATCCCAGAAAAACTCACCGAAACAAATTATCCGGCATGGTCTCTCAATGTCCAGACAGCTCTTTCAGCTAATCTCCTCCTTGGATGGATTGATGGTCATGAAGCAGCCCCGGCGCCAACTATCTCCAAAAACGATAAAATCG